GGGATGAAGGCAGGTTTAAGGGTAGGCTACCCACTGGCCTTTGGGTGTGAGGGATGTTGAAACAGACTCTCAGCCAGCCCCTTTCATTTTAGCTGCATGCTTTACTCTCACTTCCAGTGGTAACTGGTGCCTCCAATTCTCCAGCTTTTTTTGGATTCTGCAGCATGGATTGGCTGGGTTTGACTTTTCCTGCTTTTCTTAGGTCTAATATTAAGTCATTTAACTTTTTTGTTTGTTTGCTGGTTTCTAAAATTTTGTTGTAGTCATTCTTCTCCTGTTTTCCCTGAGCTTGAAGAATTATGCTTTTTAGAAACTCCTTTAAAGTTTGCTGATGAATTCTTGGATACAACAAAATCACATAAAATAAAAATTGATAAGTTGAACTTTATTAAAGTTAAAAATTTCTGCTCTATAAAAGACACTGTATTAGAGTTCTCCAGGGAAACAGAACAAATAGGAAAGATGGATGGATGGGTAGGTAGGTAGATGATAGATAGATAGATAGATAGATAAATAGATAGATAGATAGATAGATTTATTAATTATAGGAATTGGCTCATGCTATTATGGAGTCCAAGAATTCCCATGATCTGCTATTTGCAAGCTGGAGAACCAGGAAAGCCAGTGGTATAATTCAGTCTGAGTTCAAAACCCAAGAACCAGGAGTTCCAATGTGCAAAGACAGGAGAAAATGGATGTCCCAACTCAAGCAGGGAGCAAATTTGCCCTTCCTTCATCTTTTTGTTCTATTCGTGCCCTCAGTGGATTGGACATTGCCCTCCCAAGTTGATGAGGAGCATCTTCTTTACCCAGTCTACTGGTTCAAATGTTCATCTCTTCCGGAAACAGACACCCCCAGAAGTAATGTTTTACCAGCTCTCTAGGTATCCCTTAGCCCAGTCAAGTTGGAGCTTAAATTAACCATCACACACTGTTAAGAGCATGAAAGGACAAGCCACAGATTGGTAGAAAATTTTCATTTTCTGGCTGGGTTTGTATCAGATAATGGGCTGATATAAATATGTATCAGATAAAGGGCTGATATCCAAATTATTTGGATAAATATGTATCAGATAAAGGGCTGATATCCAAATTAACGATTCTTAAAACTCTTAAAAATGGGCAACAGATCTGAACAGACACTTCACCAAAAGAGGAACACGGGTGGCAAATAAACATATGAAAGGTGCTCAACATCACATGTCATTAGAGAATTGCAAATTAAAACAGTGAGATACCACTACACACCTAATAAAATGGCCAAAATCCAAAACATTGACAACAACCAATGCTGGTGAGGATGTAGAGCAACAAGAACTCTTATTCATTGCTGGTGGCGGTACCAAAAGGTACAGCTACTTTGTAAGACAGTTTGTCAAAGCTAAACATGGTCTTACCATATGACCTAGCATCATGCTCCTTGGTATTTACCCAAAGGAGTTGAAAACCTGTGTCCATACAAAAATCTGAAGCTTTATAGCAGCTTTATTCATGATTTTCCAAACTTGAAAGCAATCAAGAAGTCTTTCAAAAGATGAATGGTGTATCCAGATAATGGAATATTATTCAGTGATAAAAAGAAATCAAGCTAGGAAAGACATGGAGGAATCTTAAACGTATATTGCCGAATGAAAAAAAAAACAAACAAACAATCCGAAAAGGCTACATACTGTGTAATTCTCTGGAGACAGTAAAAAGATCAGTGGTTGCTGAAAGTTCAAGGCCAGGGGGTAGTAATGGGGGAATCAGTAGATGGCACATGGGATTTTTTAGAGCAGTGAAGCTATAGTATTCTGTTCGATACTGTAATGATAGATGATGTCATTATACATTTGTCAAAACTCATAGAATATACAACACAAAAAGTGAAATAGGACTTTAGTGAATAATAATATATTAATATTGGCTCATCGATTGTAACATATGTACCACACTCTAATGCAAGATGTTCATAGTAAGGCATACGAGGGAGGGTATTTGGGAGCTTTCTGTATTTTTTTTTTCTCATTTTTTTCTGTAAACGTAATACTGCTAAAAGAAAAAGCCTATTTTAAAAAAAATTCCCTTCAACTATTGTTTTTAGTGGGATTTCAGGAAGGAGTAGAATGGATATGTGTGCTAAATTGCCATCTTGTACAGAAAGTTCTAGAAATACTTTTTAAAATTGGTATAAGTAATAAAATATAAAATAACTCGCTTTGGGTTTATATTCATACATTACCTAATAATCTAGCATTGCATTTTATAGATAACTACTTGTCATCAAGTAAATTACTCTGTAATAAGTTTAGCTACTTAAATGATTATTTGAGCAGTTTCTCTGAATAATACAATTGTTAAATCATCAAAAAGATTATGAGATGACTCTACCTTTAAGTGCAAAATTTTATTGTTATATAGTGTAATGTACTGTTTTAAATCTTCTCATAACAAATGTAAAGCTATTTTTCTACTAGAGAATGTAATCAATGTTTTAGCCAAATATTTAAAGGACCATGACAGCAACAATTGATATAGTGAAAAATAACATCAAAAAGAATAAATATTATAAAATACATAGAGGACTAAATAAAGGTCAATGTGAATATTAAGTTATTGGTCAGAAATCTCTTATCTTCCTCTTTCTACTTTTGTTGGGCTTTTAGGATGAGGAAGTCCTCCTGTGTAGCAGTCTGTATCCTACCGGTGAGCTCTGTGTAGTCTCATCCTTGGATCCAAATAAATTTCCACAGGCCATTTCTCTCTCTATCGTAAATCATCTTACATTTCACCATAGATTATTTTTTAATTCATTTATTTTTAAATTTTTACTTATACATATAACATTAAATTTACCATCTAACCATTTTAAAGTGTGCAATTCAGTAGTATTAAGTATATTCATATTGTTGCAATCCTAATCTTCAGAACTTTTTCATCTTGCAAAACTAAAACTCTACTCGTTACTCTTCCCCCTTCCCACTTCCTCCCAACCTCTGGGAACTACCATTCCATTTTTTGTTTCTATGAGTTCGACTACTCTAGACCTCATATAAGTTGAATCATACAATACTTGTCTTTTTGTGACTGGCTTATTTCACTTAGCATAATGTCCTCAAGATTCGTCCATGTTGTAGCGCATGCCAGAAATTCTTTTTTAAGACAATAATATTTCATTGTATGTATAGACCACATTTCGTTTATCTGTTCTATCAATAGACATTTGAGTTATTATACTTTTTGGCTTTTGTCAATGATGCTGCTATGAACATGAGTATAGAGATTTCTCATAAAATTATTTTTTTAATTTATTGTTTTGATCGTGTTGTTCCCAAGCTACTTCTCACTAGATTTAGCTATAAGATAGGAAATCAAATAAATAACTTCATCAGAACTGTATCTAAAAATCCTACTTTAACTAATATGAGGTCTCAGGTACAGGCTTTAAGTGTTTTGGCTGTTCACAGATCTTATTTTATGTTTCGGCTATTTTCTAGAACTTTTTGGCCCATTTAGCTACTGCTCTAGACCTGTGAAGGCATATAAAACATGGATAGGACTGGTGGCTAGACCTCAGTGGGAGGGCAGGTGAGTAGGTGAGATAGGTACCAGGTCGATGTGTTTATAAACTGTCTCATAGCATGACACCATTTTGGGGAATGTGCCCCAGAGATTTAGAGGCTTCCATTGTAGTCCTTTGCCATTACCATTTTAGGAATGCCTTTTTAAGACAAGAACTTCATAGTAGTCGTCACAGTCCTTTATAGAAGCACTTTTCGTAACCTATAATTGTGTATTAATTAATTGTTAATTTTCCGCCTTCCCCATTAGACAGACTATAGACCTAGTGAAAGTAGAGATTATGTTTTCAATCTTTTTCACCATTGCATCTCTAATACAAGTGTCTATCACAGTATCCGGTATATAGTAGGTGCTCAATAAATGTGTGTTTAAGAAAGGATAGACTGACCAGAGTTTAAATGAGAATGAATATTTGCCATGTTAAATGTGGCAAATTAAAATAATTGGCAAAAGAGAGGGATGCAAGCTTCAAGGCAGAAATGCTAGGGAGCATGTAAACTATTTTTGATAAGTGGTGCAGGATCTGGTAACAGAGCCTCAAGGCAGCAAAACTGTCTTTAGAAAGATGAAAGAATGAAGAGATCTCTCCTTGGTCACTCACAGTTTGTCAGTTTCCAGCCTACCATGAAAAACACGCCTAAGAGCTTTTTTTTTCCATTTTGAAAGATATTTATGTTCTCTGTTAGAACACAGCATTGTGTATATTTTATGTTATTTATTTATTTGACTCTTTAAACTCATCTCATTAAAAACTTTGGCCAAAACGCAATACCTACCCAATAAATTGCTGTATAAGGAATTTGTTCAATGTACTTAAAATTTTTTAGCTAACTTCTAAAGATTACTTTTGAAGTATAGATTGTTCTCAGTTGAGTATTAACAATGATAGTTAGAGTTAAAGATCTCTTAACTATTTTCTACTATGACTCAGTGGATGATTTAATCATATGATGTTACCCAGATACTAAAACAGTTCCAGATTTTCATAAAGAGTCATATTCTTCAGATATTTTCTCTTTTCTTTAGTTCATACAGTGGAGATTTCAGTTCACTATTTGGCAGTAGGTTTTATTTACTTAGCAATACCTTATATCAGAAATTTCAAAATTTTTAAAAAATATCAATTCCTTATTTACAGTCTATGAGATTCAGCAAGCATGCTTTCCGTTTCTTTGACATGGAAATTAAGACTATACAATAGGTCTCTTCACTTTAGGTCATTACAGTAACACATTGAAACAAAAGACTCAGCAGTTAGTCTTTCTGATGATTATGTTTCAGTATGTGGTTTTTCTCTGGAATTGGACCCTTGGGAATTAAAAGAAAGTATCTCTATCCTGGAATGTAAAATTACAATAGATTTCCAGTAATGTATGTTAACTCTGGCAGGTTTAATGTCTTCTATTCTAGCTCACTTTCTTTTTTCTTTTTCCACACAGATTGATAGAGCTACATTCTCCTGATAGCAGGAACACATTGATCCTACGCTGCAAGGATACAGCCACAGCACACTCCTGGTTCGTAGCTATCCACACCAACATAATGGCTCTCCTCCCACAGGTGTTGGCTGAACTCAATGCCATGCTTGGTGCAACTAGTACAGCAGGTGGCAGCAAGGAGGTCAAGCACATTGCCTGGCTGGCAGAACAGGTAGGCTGGGAGGCAGGGCAGGGTCTCACCTGGTTGCCATTCAGAGCCAGGATGCTTCCCCCATTTCATATTTATCATACAGTCAGGTCCTGGATATCTAGCTTGCAGATCTTTTGTCTCTCCTCCCCACCATTTAGCTATTTGTTGTTAATTATCACCTTCGTGGGAAGAATTGACTGTCATGATAATCATCATCACAGTATAAAACGATGTTCTTATCACCGTCTATGTTCTTAATGACAGAGGATCATTTTCATGATTTTAGAACAGGATCAGCAAACTGTTTCTGCAAAGGGCCAGATAGTGTCACAACTTCCTGACTCTGCCACTGTAGCAGGAAAATAGTCATAGACAATACGAAAATGAATAGGTGTGGCTGTATTTCAGTAAATATTTGTAAAAACCGGTAGTGGGCTGCGTTCAGCCCACAGGTCATAGTTTCCTAACCCTGTGCTGGTCCATTGACAGAGTTTCAGGAACAGCAGTCTTACTCCTCTGCTCCGGGAAAAGTATAAATATAGAAAATATTTTACAAGCCATTGGACAGATGTCTTCCACAATTTATCTTCCACAACTGAAAAATGAAGAGAAGAGAAACAAGTAAACCTAATTGGATATGGGCTGAAGGGAAAGGAAGAACATACTCCAAGTCATTTTAGATCCCAAGTTTGACGAAAGGGAGACTAAAGGTTGTACGTGACATTATGGCCCATACTTTTTCTTTTAGATTCTTCACTGTCAACTGGGCTAGAAAGAGCTAAAATAGATGATTGGACTTGGGGTTCAGAGATGATTGTTTAAGTGCTAGTTTTGTTCTTCACTGGTTTTAGATCTTTTTAAAATTTTCTTCATTTCTTTGATACTGGTTCCCTCATGTATGTGTGAGGGGGCAGGGATTGCGTCAGTATCAGCCCTAGAAGGTTTTGTTCTTTTGTCTTAAAGAGAGAGTTTCCCAGGTCTGGCCCTTTATCATGCACCGCAACAGGATTCCGATTTGATAGATCAGTCACCAGGCCTGGCAGTCTCGTTTAGTAGCTTTTGGTGATTGTGTGGTAGATTAATTTTGGACTCTACTATTTTTTTTCAGCTCTGAAATTTTATGAGTGTTTCAAATAATAATTATGATAAATTAGAACACAGGATTACTACTGTGATGATTTCTAGGAAGCATAATTAGAATAAATAAGCAGAGAAACTAATGAAAATCATGATATAAGTACTTATAACTTGTGAAAGTTTTAGTATTTTAGTTATGTTTATCATTGTTTCTGTATTTTTATGTACTGGTTGAAAAGCTCTATTGTAGTAAGTGTTCCATGCCCTCAGCAATCTTCCTGATTTTAAAAAGGCAATATAGTAATACATTCACATGGTTCAAAAATCAGAGGTGAAAAGTTTTACTTTCCTTCCTGTCTTGTCCCCCATCCACCGAATTCCGACCCCCTTTTTCCCAGAGAGGTCATTAATTTTATTATTATCTAGTGATTTTTTTGAGAGTTTCTCTGTGCAAATAAAAGTAGATATGAACATATCTTTCTTTTTCTCTCTTATATTACATGATAGCATATTATTTTGTTCTTTTTTTTTTTTTTCATTAAGCAGTATTTCCTGGACAGCTTTCCATATCAATGAACACAGGCCATTCTTTTTTCCAACTGTATAGTTTTCCACTGTGTGGCTATAATTAAATAAGCATTCGTCCAGTTTTGTTGTTATAATCTTTTGCTATTACATATGATGCTATAATAAAGAACCTCATAGTTTGTCCTTTTACAGATTGCTATCCAAACTCTTTGGTTCCAGAGCTCAGATAGATCAGAAAGCAAGGGAACCAACATTATCTGAATATATTTGGTTCTTAAGTTTGTGTTACTGAGTAGTACAACTTTGGTTAGAAAGGGATTTATCCAAAAATTTGCATCAGGTCCTGAATTTGGAGAGTTCAGAGAGCAGGAGATATTTCTTTACCCGTAGGATAAACCTAGAAGTGCTGAGTCAAAGGGTGTATTAGTTATCTACTGCTTAGTTTCTAAGGATCAGGAATCTGGTTATGGTTTAACTGGGTGATTTCTGGCTCAGGATACCTCATGAAGTTTTAGTTAAGCTGTCAGCCAGCGTAGCAGTCATCCGAGAGCTCAACTCGGGTTGGCAGGGCCACCCAGCATGATTCATTCACATGGCTGTTGGCAGGAGGCCTCAGTTTCTTGCTATCTGTTGGTAAAAGTCTTTAGTTCTTAGCCATGTAGGCCTTTCCCCGGGGTTGCCTGAATGTCCTCAAGACATGGCTGCCGATTTTTTCCAGAGCTAGTGATCTGAGAGAGAAAACAAGATGGAAGCTACAGTGTCCTTTATGACTGCTTTGTTCTTTTCATTAGAAGAGAGTTGCTAAGTCCAGCCTACACGCAAGGACTTCACCTCTTAAAGAGAAGAGTAGTAAAGAATCAGCAGACATATTTTTACACTACCACAAAGGGTATATGCCTTTGTAATTTTGATAAATATTGCCATATTGCCTTCTATCAGGTTTGAACTAATTTAGATTCCCACCAGTAATGTATGAGAGTTGCCAGACTTTTAAAGTGAACTTAATTTGATCTATGATACATATAGACTAGTAGAAAGGAGGAAAATAAAGCTACCAGTTCATCACAATCTGTCTTTTATGGACCATATTATATTTCCTTTACTCAATTGTGAGCTCTTGGAAGACAGGAACACACTTTTTCCAAGTGTTTTTTTGCCCCAGAGAATTTAGCCTAATGCTTTATATGTAATAGATGCTCAGTAATTTTTTTCTTTTTGTTTACATATATATGAAGAGCAAGCAACCAAGTCACTTTTTATAAAATATTGTCCAACAATACAACTCAGGGTTAGGAAATAATACTAAGTAGAAAAGTTTCAACCACTTTAGAAATAGTACCACTGAGCTAATTCAAAGAGCTATTTCTAAAATACTCTTGTTTTTTACTTTTTTGAAGTAGGTGTTTGGGTTACCCAAATCAAATATCACTCTCAGAATAAGGTGTTCAAGCAAAATTGGATACCATTTCTCAGATGTATTATAATGAACTTATGTATCTGATAAAAGTAGGACCCATTTATGACTCTAAGATTCTTTTATGAGTGTAAAAATGGTCAAGATAATTTCAGATCATGTAATCTGTTTAATATAGGTAAGCATTTCCTTTGGCAAGAGGTGTACCTCCTGAAAAGCTTGCATGTAAATGAAGCTTTTTCATTTATATTTAGAAAAGAGTCATTTGGGGCAGATAAGAAAGAATCTTTAAATGATTTCTCCTTAATTTATCTTTTTTGTTATTTCACAATGTCATAAATTGAGTTTGTTTAAAACAAGTAAGACCTATAATACAGATATTTGATAACTGAGAGATCATCTGTTCTGTGCATAGGGACTTCAGCCTTCTTTTTTGATACTGATTTTTCTGTGACTGATAGTTTACCTTTTAGTTGGTTATATACTTTAAGGGTAATTTTAAGTACTCCAAATGGGGGGACATGTATTACCTATAAAAGCAGTATTTTTAAGCATTTGAGTATAAATTAGAAAAGCCAAGTCAGCCAAAGAAGGCTTTGTTTCTATAGTTTCGACTTTGTTCCTGATAATTCCCCAAATATGTAAAGATTCAAATTAGGGTTAGTGAAATGGTTTATTTAATGTTTGCTTCTTTGTGTTCTTTTATAAAAATAACAGAAGTACATCACCTGTCAAAAAGATTTATAAGATAAAAATATTTAAGGAATGACTGATAACTATTAGTATTTTTTCATTTTCGTGTTATCGAACTCTATTTATTAGAAAATAAAATTTGTAGAAGGTTCTTGTTGGCCCAGAGTGTATGCATGTGTATGCATGTGTGGGTGTTGAAACACAAACAAACCAGAACCCTAACATTAGTATCCCTTTTTTCTCCAGCCAAAAACTGAATAGTGGAGCCCCAAGGCTGCTTGCACTGATACAACTGAAAACACATGCTATATATAGCAGGTAGCATTTTGATTCCAGTGAAAGCAAACAGTATCTTTATAAGTTAAGGCAAATAGATAAACAGAATGTCTTAAATTGCAGTTTAATTTTCCCCCAGTGGTAAATAGAAGAGGAAAAAGATATTTTCCAAAAATAAGGACTCAAGAGAGCTAAAGAATAAACACTTTTTAAAAATGAATTGAACAAAACGTTTTCTCTCTTGAAATTGGTTATTGCTTTTATTGCCATTAGCAGTTTTTTGTTTTGTTTTGTTTTTAGAGCCTAAAATATCTTCTTTGGGAAGAAATACATTTAATTTAGGTTTTCCAAATAAATATACTCTGATCTAGCCTTCAAACTAGCTCCCTTATAATACAAAGGAAAATTAATTTTTAAAAATCAGATTATCATTTGAACCTTTTGGGAGGATAGATTTTTCATTATTTTCCCTATTGAAATATTACTTATAACAATCTCAGACACAGACTTATTAGTGCACATAAACTAGAAATCCCTTTGGGGTGTCTATGACCCAAAAATGTAAGAATCTAAGAGAACCTCTTTAGAGCTGATAGTCTCCCTCTAGATATTACAGAGTTACTCATAGACTAATATAGAAGTCTTAGAAAACTTGGGTTTGCCAATAAGAAAATGTAATCATTTCTACAATACCTTGCTTGAATTCTCCAAGTCAGGTCATATATTTTATGCTTTTAGCACATGGTAGAACAAGGGTCCCTACAATAGCTGGAATTCATTTCCCACTCCTGGGATCAGCTTGTGGCTCCAGCTAAGAGAAAAGAGTCCTGGTGATAGATATTATAATACAGAACTGAACCACCGCTTTTCAGACTATAGATGTATTCTTAAGGTACTCTGACATGTTCAAATTACCTTCAGAAGTCACTGAGGAGAAGAAACTAAAAAGTGGCTCTGGAGACAACTCTTTAAGAGACAAGTGATTCATCAATTTGGATCCTTCTTGAAGCCACCCACCAGTGATAGTGAGCTGAAGGCTCAGTGTTCAGAAAGCATTGTTAAGCATTCTCTGCTCAAAGTTCTTACCTCACGAGGGCAGATGTTTTGATGATACCAGAGCTTTTCTTGAACACAGGCTTTTGCTTTTTGGCTTTGGATCCTTGACAATATGGATAAACAGTGGTTGTTTTCCGACATTTTTAACTCCTCACAGAGATAACTGGAGCTTTATGCAAGTAAATGCAATGGCACATTTGAAACTGAAACATAAACTTCCTAAAGTGTAATGGAGAAGTCTGACAATAGTTTATATGAGTGTTTTCCAAAATACAACATAGTAGGTCATCAGCATTTAAAAAAAATAGAATAGACATTATCAGAGTACACTGCATAAAATATAGGGATTGTGTTATTTTGGAAATTTTTTCATTCAGTTATTTACATAAGTTTATATTAGGTTGCAAAGTAAAGTGTATTTCTTATTATAGGTCGACAAAAAATATTTGAAAAACACTGATGTTTAGATTATGCAGACTTATTTGGTGGTAGAATTTTGTTTCTCTCTTAGATGATGTTTCTCTTACATCAGATACACTAACATCATTATGAATTTGAACAGATTAGTGTGTATTTAATCAGAATTGGTGATAATTAGTTATTATAGAATGGGAAAAAACTGTCATATCACTAGATAATATCTGTAACTTACTCAGGTTGAGCTTTTTCAAACTACACAATCCACCTCATACCTCCCAATGAACCCCTGCCCTTGGGAAGGAACCTGATGGGATGTTCCCTGTTTCTCAAGTCTTTTGGGATGGGGAAACAAAATGGAGACCCCCTATGTTAAGCCTTCATTGAAGGGACTTTTACAAATACATATCGTTATAGTTAGCTCTGCTTTCTGGATTTCACCATTGGAACAGGCAAAACTAGATGGTGGAAGACAACAATGGAGACCTGTTCTCATGGCTGTGACTGAGAAGGATTTGCTGCTTTATGACTGTATGCCATGGACAAGGGATGCCTGGGCATCACCATGTCACAGCTACCCTCTTGTTGCCACAAGGTAAGACAAAAGACAAAAACATAAAATAAAATATCTATCTTATTCTAAATCTTCTAAAGAATTTTAAAGTGAATTCTGTTAAGTGCCTAAAATAGCATTTAAGTAGCTAATATAGTTGATTTAGACAAAGACTTTTTTTTCCAACCTTATTGATTACTTCACCTCTCCTAGCTCAGAATAAATGGTTTCTGTCATTAGTATTTTTGTGTGCATTTTTAAGTTGAAGCAGCTTCCTAATTGCTTCCTCCAAAGTTTGCTTAGTCATGAAGATAAGTAGTATTTTTTTTCCTTTACTTTATTGACTCTGACAAGAAAACCACTGAAATTGTGGTAGCCTTTTGACTGAGTGATGAAATCATTTAAACCAGAATGTGGTACTGTGGATAAACCACACAACTCAGCCAAGACATTCTTCAACTTCTCTTTCTGGTATAAGAGCACATAATTTTGATTCCATCAAATAAACATTGATTTGACCTGAAGCAACAGGATGTTTCTAGCATGCCAGATGTCGGGAGTTGGAAGGCAAAGAACAGAGGAATGTAGATTTGGGGGCCAATATGTTTTAAGAGATAATTAGAAACTAGTGTGAAACTAGAAAACATTCACATTCAGTTTTATTTGGGCTTAAAAAAGAATCAGATCTTTTTGTAAATAAAAAACTATACCTTAAAAAGGAGCCCCACAGAAAAGTATTTGGCAGTCAAAAAAACTAAATGCTGAAACCATCTGGAACAGTGGGGTGGGGTGGGAGTGGGGGTCCTGCCTTGAGCAAACAAAGATTCATGTGAGGAAGAATATTCTTTACAAGAAGACTCACGTTATATAGGATTTTCTTCAACTTGCCAAGTTCCCTTACATTTATAATTTTTTAAATAAAATAATTTTCACATAGTTTTTCAGGAATTCCTCTGTAATTAAGAGCTGGAGCACTTAGATCACAGAACAGAGATAAGAGATTTGGGTTTTTTTGTTTTTGTTTTTTTAATTCCCCACTAAATTATAACCTTCTTGAGATCAAGAACTGTGATTTAGTCATCTCAGCACTTCCCATAATGCTTTGCATATAGTAGGCCCTCAATAAATCTTAGTTGAGTTAAATTCTATTACTTAAATTATAGTTTGTCATAGTTACATTGAGAGCATGATAGAAATCCTATGAAAACATGTGAACATGTCTCAGTCGGTATAATTAGAGTAATTAAATTTATATTTTCCAAAGATTTTGAGCTTTAAATATGACTGTAGAGGTCTCTTAGGTTTAAATTTCATGGGAAAAGCTCATATTCTAGTTGTGAACATAGAATGCAAAGTGGGTAGCTTTATCCTTAGACATTTCCTTAGCTGCATATCACTGGAGGGATGGAGCAGAAACCTGTGACATCCCATAGGTGAGCCTTTGTTTAATACTAGAAATTTTGATCCCATAAACAAATAATTTTTGGTCATAGACTAGACTGGCCTAGATCACCAAAGCACTTCAGTACTATAGAAGGAGATGAGGTGGTTGTGTGTGTACTATCACTGTGGTATTAATTTGCAACCTGGGAAAAGATATAAATAAGATTTAAGAGCTAAACTATAAAATTCTTAGTTTTATACAGGAGTAGATCTTCATGACCTTGGCTTAGGCAGCACTTTCTTAGATATGACACCAAAAATATAAGCAACAAGAGAAAAAATAAATAAATTGAACTTTATCAACATTAAAAACTTTTGTGCTTCAGATGTCACCATCAAGAAAGTGAAAATACAACCCACAAAATGGGAGAAAATATTTGCAAGTCATATATCTTATCTGGGACTTGTATCTAGAAAAATATAAGAACTCTTACAACTCAATAATAAATAGATAAATTACCCAATTAAAAAATGAGAAAAAGATCTGAATAGACATTTGTCCAAAGAAGATATACAAATTGCTAATGAGCACATGAAAAGGTAGTCAGCATAATTAGCCATCAAGGAAATGCAAATCAAAACCACAGAGAGATACAACTTCCCACCCACTGGGATGGCTATAATTAAAAAGACAGATAATTAAAAATAAATAAATAAATACAGAAAGACAGATAATAGCAAGTGTAGACTAGGATGTGGAGAAAATGGAACCCTCACGCACTGCTAGTGGGAATGTAAAATGGTGTCTTTATTGAGGAAAACAGTCTGGCAATTGCTCAGAAGGGTAAACATAGCGTCACCACGTACAATTATACTTGTATGTGGTGTACTCAAGAGAAATGAAAACTTACGTCTGCCCCAAAACTTATACGTGACTGTTTGTAACAGATTCATAACACCCAAACAGTGCAAACAACTCAAGTGTTTGTTAGCTGATGAATGGATAAACAAAATTTGTCATATCCACACAATAGAATATTATTCAGCAATAAAAAAAAAGAATGAAGTTTTGATAAACTGCAACATAGATGAACCTTGAAAATATTATGCTAAGTGAAAGGAGTTAAACACAAAAGACCACATATTATATGATTCTATTTATATAAAATGTGCAGAATGGGCAAATCTATAGACAGAAAGTAGATTAGTCATTCATTGCCGGGGTGAGGTCGAGGACGGGTTGGGAGAAATAAGGAATGACTGTTAATGAGTACAGGATTTCTTTTTGGGTAATGAAAATGTGCTAAAATTGAATGTGGTGATGGTTACATATCTCTGAATATATCAAAATCCTTGAACTTACACTTTAAATGAGTAAAGTGTATGGCATGTGAATTATATCTCAATAAAGACATTGTAATGAATAAAACAACAAACCAAACAAGATTTAATAGAAGGGACTGAGGTCAATCCTTAATAAACTCGAATTTGAATCCCTATTCTACCATTTGTAATAGAATTGGAAGCATGTTACTTATATTTTTTGTGCCACAGATTTTTCATTTGTTAATGAAACCCTAATGGACCCTAATAAGATAGAGTGGGTATGACTATTAAATGAGTTAATACTTGTAAAATGCCGACAGTGGTACCTGATAGGTTGTTAGTTGCTTTCATTATAATTATTATTAAGTGAATATATGTCAAAGAAGAATTCTGTGTAAAAAGTGTAATTGGTTTAATTTGGCCGCAGTTAAAAGAAGAGCATAGTTCTACCCAATAGTTTTTACAACTAGTGAAAGTTTCATATTAAATGTGAAGAATTCAAATGTATTATTTGGATCAACCTAGACATGCAAATTGAACATGGCCATTAATTAAATGGGTGGGGCCTGTAGCTCTCTGAACATGTTTCTTAATAAGTTTAATTCATGTAACAGCAGGGATTCTTAACTCCTTGTTCAGGAGCAAAGATGACAGGCAGATGAGAAGTTTAGTTTTTCCATGTGGCCATGTCGGCCAGGTGGAATTGGTTTAAGTCACTGCATGATAGAATTAAGTGGGACTTAATCATCCTCTGCTTCTCAGAGGGGGTAGAGTATGGCCACTGAGAGAGGCCAGAAGACAGAACCAGACCACGACATGTGCCGCAGAGAAAGGCGAGACCAGAAAGTGGTATACTTTTGTTTTTTTGGTGTGGTGAGGGAATTGAAATTTATATGAGTAACGAGAAAGGGCTGAATTTTCACTTTCACCAATTGTATTTCTAATACTTTGGAACATGTTCTCATGAGCGAATGAGTCAGAAAAAAAAGGTAGTATAAACACATGGAAGAAAAAGAAGTTAAGGAGCTTGATTATCCACAAAAGCAGATATTCCCTGATAAATTAAGAATTAATTATTGTTCAAAAATCAAAGAATATTGTTAGGGTGATGTAAATTAACACGAGTTATTTATATTGGCTTGCATGTTTACAGATTCTTGGAAGCCAAGGCCGTATGTGTGTGAGATAGAGAGAGAGAGAGAGAGAGAGAAAGAAAATGGCTGGTGAAGAATTAAATAAAACATGAAAGTGATAAATGAAAAGGATATTTATTTATTTATTTATTTATTTATTTTATTTTATTTTATTTTATTTTACACATTTCTTGAGATTAAAGCCAGATACATGATAGAGGTAGAAGAACGCATTGGTTTTAAAGGTACTGTGAATTTTGTAAGATGTGCATTTTGTAGTTTTTTCTAATATGCTTTCTCTGACTGAAGGAGAAAAAGATCCAAAAAAGTGTAGCTACTTTACAATGTGGAAAATTGAGCGATATTGTACTTATGGGACTTATGGGGCAAAAGCTGCTAAAACGCCTTTGGATGAGCTCATCTGGTCTCCTCACTAACGGGGGCCTTTTGGCAGTATGTTCTAACCAACTGCTGCACAGCAAGACTCCAGCAGCTGGTTTGAATTAGATTTCCTCTGCCAAATATTTCATAATCAGATCTGTAGGAAAAATTCTACATTTTATATTATTTAATGTCTGACTTGGGATTAGCAATCAAACTGAATATGGTAGACTACACCCTGCCACTTTCCCCACCCTCTGTCTTACTTGGATCATATTCTCACTTGGAGTAATTTTGAAACTTATTTAATTCTTGCTGAGATAGCTAATGTCTAACTGGCGTAATGGTTCTATGGAAATCAGTTCAGTGAGAAGGTTCTCAAAGTCTACTTTCATGGACCTCTAGGGGTCCCCTCTTTAGGAGGTCTGTGAGTTCAGAACTATTACTAAGATGTTGTTTGCTTTTTTTTCACTGTTGACATTTGCACTGAGGGTTGGTAAAATTGCTGATGCCTTAGCATGAATCAAGGCAGTCGGCACTAAACTGTATGGACTAGCAGGGAGGGAAACGCCAATTTAACCTCAGAACATCTTTGGTGAAGCAGTCAAAATTATTAATTTTATTTAATCTCAATCATTGAGTACTCATCTTTTTATATTCTGTGAGATGGAATGGGAAGTACTCACAGAGCTCTTCTGCTGCATACTAAAGCATGATGGTTGTTTCAGAAGCATGTGTATAGTTGAGTTATGAGCAGAACTGGCAATTTTTTTTTATGGAACACCATTTTTTACTTGACATAACAACTGGCTGACAAAC